TATACGTAGAGAAACCATCCAGGGCCAGCTGTGTGGGAGCGCCATCCGTCCACCGACTATTTTCGTATTTGATTCTATAGGAGGAATTGCTGGGCGACCACAGTGACCATCTTCTGAAAATTTATGAAGACACATAACCAAGAAAATTTTCTAGGAAACAATTTGGAGGTAATTTATTATTAATTCACTACTGTCTTCTAACCAGTTTTTCAATATTTTTTTAAGCTGAATTATTCTCGTTATACAGGCTTTTGACATGTTTTATAACTCAATACCGGTAAATAAAATACTGTGCGTTTGTTAAGTAACGTCGCTTTTCATTTGATAATCATGATGTTTTATGTAGTTTATTTACATTTATGAAGTTTTCTCGATTTTCATTAAATAAAATAATTTGCTTTGTTATGAATTCGTTGTTTAGCATTTTTGATGGTTATATGGCCGTATATATAACATTTGTTTTCATTATAACTTCATGCCGGCTGGAAATGTAAAAACGGACAATCCTTTCAACCAAGTCATATAAACAGTAAACTATCTTTATACCTAATATAATAAACGGTTTTCAGCTAAACCCAACAGCTTTACAAGCGTTTAAAAGCAAACAGCCACTTATACAGGGGGCATATAACCTCGAAAATGGCCAATATGGTAATAAAAAATAACACAATCATGATGTTCTACCAAAGTATTTAAAATGCTGATAATCCAATGAGGAAATGGAAACATTGGTTAGGCTGAAATATCAACAAAAATTCCTGACAAGAAACACCTTAACAAGGACAATTGCTTACCTACCACAAACAGCTTCGTCCGAATTGTCCGGGCACTCTGTTCGATTGTTGCACATAAATTCATAGAAAATACAGCTGCCATCTCCACATCGAAACATGTTACAGGCTTCTGAAAAACAATACAAACGGAAAAATGTTTAAATTCTGGACACATGTTACACTTTTCTGTAAAGAAAAAGACACGCAAAGCACATAGTAAAATTCTGACAGCCGTAAAGAAATAGTGTATCACTATAATGATTGCGGTGATGATGACGAGGGTGATGACGACAACGATGATGATGACGAGGGCGATGACGACAACGATGATGATGACGAGGGCGATGACGACAACGATGATGATGACGAGGGCGATGACGACAACGATGATGATGACGAGGGCGATGACGACAACGATGATGATGAGGAGGACAATACTGATGCAGGTGCTTGCACAAGATAATAATAACATCATTACAAAAATAACTGTAATTATTATAATTACTTCTTTCTATTATAATTACCATAATTGTTATTATTATTATTATCAATATCATTTTAATTATTGTTGGTTACTTATGATTTTAATGATGTTGAAAATAACAATGACGCAGACACGTCAATAAATATGTGTTATCTTTCTATGTAACGTGAAATAATTAATTGTTATCTTGTTATTTACACATGTACAAATATTCTAAATAAAATATGTTTGAAACAATATCCCCTATTTTAAATAGGATGACAACATACACTTCGAGAGGTTCAACTATATATGCCCTTTAAACCTACTTTTTATGTTATAATTGTGTTATTTATGTAAATTTTACACAACTACTGCAACAACTGCATCAATTATACAAGCATATCAATTTTGATAAATAGCGTCTTTGGTCTCAAGTATTATATTATTGCTTATTTAACCCGTTTATGTATTTATTTTGATATGAAATACAATGTAGTTATTATATTTTCGCTTATGAAACCTTTTGCGTTATCAATCAAAATTCATCTTCAAATAAATGAGCCGCGTCATGACGAAACCAACATAATGGGTTTGCGACCAGCATGGATCCAGACCAGATCCGCGCTGTCTGATCAGGATCCATGCTGTTCGCTATCAGTTTCTCTACTTGTAATAGGGTTGGTAAGCGAACAGCATGGATCCTGATGAGTCTGCGCGGATGCGCTGGCTGGTCTTGATCCATGCTGGTCGCAAACGCATTATGTTGGTTTTGTCTTGACGCGGCTCAAATAAAGATTATTTGTTTTGTATATATTCATAAAAATATATTGCAGTCATACAATGATGTGCCTGATTATGTCCTCCTAGGCTGACTTTAAACCTAATGGAATGAAGTAAGTAATATTTTTGTGAATCTCGACTTACTTAATCAAAGCAAGCTTAAAGTGTAAGTAAAATTAAGTAAGATCTAAATATGTTAAGCCAGCCTTACCGGATTTTGGCATGACTTGATACGTCAGGTTAAACCCGAGCCCTCCCACGTCCGCGTCCGAGTTGAACTTTATCAACAATGAAGACCCGGTTGAATACAGATCATCTGGAAACAAGAATCCACACATCTGTGCTATCTTAGTGGATGAGTTACTGTTGCCATCATAAATAGCCACATAGTCATACAAGCAACCATCGATTCTCTCCGTCAAAAAGTCCTGAAAATCAATATTTGAGCCGCGTCACGACAAAACCAACATAATGGGTTTGCGACCAGCACGGATCCAGACCAGCCTGCGCATCCGCGCAGTCTGATCAGGATCCATGCTGTTCGCTATCAGTTTCTTTATTTGTGATAGATTTGTTAGCGAACAGCATAGATCCTGATCAGACTGCGCGGATGCGCAGGCTGGTCTGGATCCATGCTGGTCGCAAACCCATTATGTTGGTTTTGTCATGATGCGGCTCATGGTTTTACGGCAAATGAACGCAATTTAAGTCATATGGCGCCGAAGCAGGAAAGATGATTTGGCTAACCTGGGGTGTTATAAACTTAAAGCAACACCAAGGGTTAACACCAAGGGTCAAAACCCCCTCATTTGCTGGAGTTAAGAGATGAATAGACAAAAGTATTTCGGACCCATTGAGTCGCCTCTTACAATCACGCAGGGATAAACAATGATTAAACCCTTAAAGGCAATCCCTCAACCACAAGGAAGGGCGGGGATGGGGGGGGGGAAGAGAGAATCAATCATAAATACCTATATTTTCAAACCAATATGCACCATCTAATTATAAGCACTCATCCACCAATGGGACATTGCAAGAACAGAAAGAGGAAATTAAAAGTTTCTACCTTTCATCTGTCCTCACACAGCCATGACAATTCGGTTGCTTTGTTTTTTGGCGCCAACAAAGAGGGGTTGTTTTCAACCCGCAATACGGGGATATTCAGCGATGTTCTCGCCATCTTACCTCCCTTGCGAGACGGGTCTTCAATGGTAACACTAGGAATTGCATATGTTTACATAAACCTAATTTGAAACAGAGTCTTGTGGTTATTCAGGGATGTTCTTTAAAGAACTATAATTATTGTTTACCATTTAAAAATAGACAAGTTTGATAAATATTGACATATCAATGCTGTGTACTTACTTCAAACATAAGCCTAATGATGTTTCCAGGGGGCGCTTTTATCAACCAATTACATTCTAAATCTGGCTTATACCGACTGTGACCATCATATCCCGGAGATGAAATAAACCCACGTGATCCATTCAGTATCTCAACTTCACCATTACAACCAGCTACTTTTATTTCTTCCACTGTTACTAAAGAGTTAAATAAAATAAGTTATTTAGTTAAAACCCCTAATATGTGAAATGGAATATCAGTTTGAAAGGACGGTTAAAGTGGCATTGAGCTCACTTTTTTATTGTAAAGTTGAACTGAATTGACTATGTATTTCAAAAGATAGGTTATTACAATGGCTTCTGATTAACAGATGAGATTGCAAAAATGTTCATGATAAAATAAATCAGCGAATAATAGAAAAAAAAATTGTCCAACTCTTTGGATAAATTGCACATTACAAGTCAATTCGGATGAGCATTTGCAAACATTTTCTTGGGCCACATTAGTTATTTATTGTTCATGTGAAGTAAATTATAAAATTGCAAGGAATTATGGCAAAATGTAACTTTATTTTGACTTTCACTTGTTCACTCATTATATATCCTTGCATGGGCGTAAACAGGAGAATTACCTGTTTTAACTTCTGTTGTATAAGTTATGTTGAATCCTTCATACTCATTGGCTGAATCTGTTCGGAACATGAGCAACATTTGATTTCCTGTCGACATGACATCAGAGGGTATATAGTCCCCACATATATTACTTAGAACAGTTGCAAACGCATCAACGCCATCAAATACCCGCAGATAATCTCTCGAACACCGTCTTGTATTTTCAAGCCTGCAATTTTATCATTTAGTTTTTACATATATAACGCAGAACTATATTTAAATGGAGAAGAAACTATGAGGTAATGCACCAAAAATTATTATCCCGTAAGTTCACATTTTTGCGAGATTTCCCAAGACCATGTTTGACACGATAATAGGTACCGAGATGTACGCCGCCATATTATCTAAAAGTTGTTATTGTAATCAAAAGAACTAACAAAAAAGAAGTTGCAAAAATATACAAAAAATATAGATTATGAGGAAGATGTAAATTACTCTCAATAATGGAAGAAAATGAAAGTTAAACAACATGATGGAAATTAATAAAGTCCAAGGGCCAATGAATCTCACGCAAGGGATTGTGGGTCAGGATCAGAAAGTTTTCTATTTTTTGAGCTTCTTATCCCTCTGTACTATAAGTCTTTTATATACAATCAGGCAAAGCTTTTTATTTTTTGGTAGTGCAAAAAGGAAGTAAAGACCAGACTAATAAGTTCTCAAAATATTAAGCATGGATCTTTGTCTCAATATAATTGTAATTATTTTCATCTTTCTGCTATATTTTGTAAAAAAAAATAAAAACAAGAACGTGTTTGTTAAACACAAATGCCCCCGGCTCAGATTCTTGTCAGTAGCAATACTTCATAAATGTTTACCCATTCACTCAGTTATGGACAGAAAAATCACCAAAAAATTGTAAACACAAGTTTTATAGCTTGACAAAGTCATGGCATTTTGTAATTGTGAAAAATATAAGTTGCCAAGTCATTGCTCTGACTTGTGAAGTTGAAAAATATTCAACTTCATGCAAGTTATCTTCCTACCAAATACGAAATACATCTGTCATTAAATAAAGGCTGTATGGGCAAAAGTGTAAAAAATCTATTTTGAGCACTGGTGACCTTGACCAAACTGACCCCTAACTCTATCCAAAAGAAGAATACCATGTAAGTTATCTTCCTACCAAATATGAAATACATATGTCAATAAATAAAGGCTGTATGGGCAAAAGTGTAAAAATCTATTTTAGCACTTGTGACCTTGACCCAACTGACCCCTTACTCCATCCAAAGGAAGAATACCATGCAAGTTATCTTCCTACCAAATATGAAATACAACTGTCAATAAATAAAAGCTGTAATGGGCAAAAGTGTAAGAATCTATTTTTAGCACAAGTGACCTTGACCCACTGATCCCTACCCCAATCAAAAGGATGAATACCATGCAAGTTATCTTCCTACCAAATATAAAATATCTGTCACTTAATAATGGCTGTATGAGCAAATGTGTAAAAATCTATTTTTAGCACTGGTGACCTTGACCCAACTGACCACTAAACTCCATCAAAGTTTATGTTTCTATCAATTATAAATAACATCTGTCTATAGAATAAGGTCAATACACCTGTAAAAATGTAAAAATCTATTTTTAACATTGGTGACCTTGACATTGGTAACATTGACCTTGACCCAAATGACCCCATACTAACACCCAAAGAAGGAGGTGTTTGTATTAAACTAAGACATTAACTAAAAAATAAAGGCTGTATGAGCAAAAAGGTTTATATTTATTTTTTTAAACCAGTGACCTTGACCTTGACCCTAGAGACCGCTTACTCTAAAAAAAAATTAGAGGACCATCAAAGGTATCCACCTACTAAATATGAAAGATATCAGTAAAGAAATTAAGCAATTAGGAGAAATATAAGATAAATCCAACTTGCCGAAATAGGTTAACCAGACAAGGCCCTATTTTCAAAGTGAAAAAAGGGAAATAGCTGGGAAATATGGATGACACAGTTATATAACTTGGCAATATCATGTGCTTTGTATTGATAAGTAAGTGTGGAAATTTTAAAGCCATTAGTATAGATAGAACTTAAGATATTTCCAACTTGCCGTTTTAGGTTAACCATTATTCATTTTCTAAGTGCTAAAAAGGGCAATAACTTGGTAAATATGAAAGCCAGAGTTATGAAACTTGCCCAGATCGTGTTCTTTGTATTGATTAGTAAGTGTGTAAACTTAGAAGCCATTGGTACAGGTAGAACTTAAGAAAAATCCAACTTGCCGTTCTAGGTCAACCTCGTACGGACAGACGGACGGACGGAGGACGGACGGTTCAATCACTATATGCCCGGGGGCATAATAGCAGCGTAATAGATAATTCCGAAGAAACAGGCACTACAGTGTACGATTTTTAATATAAGAGTATAATTATAAGAAAGACAGCGAAAACAATATGGCAAGTCTAATGCGTTACTAACGCAGTAAAGGCTATTTTTGCACATTTTGATTTGAGCCGCGTCACGACAAAACCAACATAGTGCGTTTGCGACCAGCATGGATCCAGACCAGCCTGCGCAAAAATTCCGCGCAGTCTGATCAGGATCCATGCTGTTCGCTTACCCTTTTACAAGTAGAGAATATGATAGCGAACAACATGGATCCTGATCAGACTGCGCGAATGCGCAGGCTGGTCTGGATCCACGCTGGTCGCAAACGCACTATGTTGGTTTTGTCATGACGCGGCTCATTTCCTTTTTTAGTAAACTACGTTGACTGAGTCATTTGAAATTGGTATTTTTTTCATTTCACAATATTTTGCTTTTCAATACATGTTCAAACTTTTAATGAAAACTATAGCATGAATCAGTAGGCATGCTGCTTTAAAAAAAAACAGCATTCTAAAATATAACCTAATCTATATGTGACAAACGGTTAGTAATTTACGTTAAAAAATAGGTCAAAGATTCGCACTATCTTAAATACTGCACTTCAAAATTTACAGGTGAAAGTGCTTTTTCATTTATATGTACTAAGTGACCTATTTATTTACTTTTCTTACAAAGAAGGAAACGAGTCACCATTTCTTATCAAGAAATAGTAGATATAAGTACCGACCTGAACGTGTTGAATTGCAGCCGAATAACTTCTCCATCTAGCGCCTGCAGCGTCCATGTACAAATTAAATCTGGCGGGTAATTTGAGACGCCAAAATAAGGCGACAAAATAAAACCATCTTCGGTCGCATTAATCGTCTGCTTACATCCATGTTTTGGAATCAGGCCGTCGTCATCTTTAAAGAAAATGGCAAGGAAAATCAAAGCAGAAGATTACTGTAAATGCGTGATGGGCTACTTTTTAAACATCGCCAATTTACTCATTAGGAGAGGGTACTAGTATTTATAATGACATCGCCATATCCTACATGAGAACCCATAGCCAGGAGGGTATTTATTATGAGATCACCACATCCTACATAAAAACCCATAGTCAGGAGGGTATTTATTATAAGATCGCCACATCCTACATGAGAATCCATAGCCAGGAGTGTATTTATTATGAGATCGCCATATTCTACATGAGAATCCATAGCCAGGAGTGTATTTATTATGAGATCGCCATGTTCTACATGAGAATCCATAGCCACCAGTGTATTTATTATAAGATTGCCATATTCTACATGAGAATCCATAGCCAGGAGTGTATTTATTATGAGATCGCCATATTCTACATGAGAATCCATAGCCAGGAGTGTATTTATTATGAGATCGCCATGTTCTACATGAGAATCCATAGCCACCAGTGTATTTATTATAAGATTGCCATATTCTACATGAGAATCCATAGCCAGGAGTGTATTTATTATGAGATCGCCATGTTCTACATGAGAATCCATAGCCACCAGTGTATTTATTATAAGATTGCCACATTCTACATGAGAATCCATAGCCAGGAGTGTATTTATTATGAGATCGCCATATTCTACATGAGAATCCATAGCCAGGAGTGTATTTATTATGAGATCACCATGTCCTACATAAGAACCCATAGTCAGGAGGGTATTTATTATGAGACTGCCATATCCTACAAAAGAACCAATAGCCATGTGTGTATTTATTATAAGATCGCCACATCCTACATGCGAATCCATAGCCAGGAGTGTATTTGTTATGAGATCGCCATATTCTACACCAGAATCCATAGCCACAAGTGTATTTATTATGAGATCACCATGTCCTACATAAGAACCAATAGCCAGAAGAGTATCTATTATGAGATTGCCATATCCTACAAAAAAGTATATTTATTATGTGATTGCCATATCCTATATGAGAACCCATAGCCAGGAGTGTATTTATTATTATGTATCTCATAATAAATACACTCCTGGCTATGGGTTATTATGTAAAATATTGCAATCTCATAATAAATGACACTCATAGCTATGGGTTCTTATGTAGGATATGGCAATTTCATAACAAATACCCCCCCCTGGCTATGGGTTCTTATGTAGGATATGGCAATGAGATTGCCATATCCTACATAATAACCCATAGCCAGGAGTGTATTTATTATGAGATTGACATATTTGACATAATAACCCATAGCCAGGAGTGTATTTATTATGAGATTGCCATATCCCACATAATTACCCATAGCCAGGAGTGTATTTATTATGAGACTGCCATATCCTTTATGAGAACCCATAGCCAGGAGTGTATTTATTATGAGATTGCCATATTTTACATAATAACCCATAGCCAGGAGTGTACTTATATTGAGATTGCCATATCCTACATTATAACCCATAGCCAGGAGTGTATTTATTATGAGATTGCCATATCCTATACGATAACCCATAGCCAGGAGTGTATTTATTATGTGATTTCCATATCATACATAAAAACCCATAGCCAGGAGTGTATTTATAATGAGATTGCCATATCCTACATTCTAACCCATAGCCAGGAGTGTATTTATTATGAGATTGCCATATCCTATATGAGAACCCATAGCCAGGAGTGTATTTATTATGTGATTTTCATATCATACATAAAAACCCATAGCCAGGAGTGTATTTATAATGAGATTGCCATATCCTACATTATAACCCATAGCCAGGAGTGTATTTATTATGAGATTGCCATATCCTATATGTAAACCCATAGCCAGGAGTGTATTTATTATGTGATTTCCATATCCTACATAAAAACCCATAGCCAGGAGTGTATTCAATATGAGATCGCCACATCCTATATGTGAACCAATAGCCAAAAATGTATTTATTATAAGATCGCCACATCCTACATAATAACCCATAGCCAGGAGGGTATGTATTATGAGATCGGCACATCCCATATGAGAACCCATAGCCGGAAGTGTATTTATTATGGGATTACCATATTCTTAATAAGAACCCATAGCCAGAATTGTATTTATCATGAGATCGCCATATCCTACATAAGAACCCATAGCCAGGAGGGTATTTATCATGAGATTGACACATATGCTACATAAGAACCCATAGCCAGGAATGTAATTTTATGAGATCGCTACATCCTACATAAGAACCTATAGCCAGGAGGGTATTTATCATGAGATTGACACATATGCTACATAAGAACCCATAGCCAGGAATGTATTTTTTATGAGATCGCTACATCCTATATGAAAACCCATAGCCAGGAGTGTATTCATTATGAGATCGCTACATCCGACATACAAACCCATAGCCAGGAGTGTATTCATTATAAGATCATTCATTAAAAGAAAAAAACATTCTTTTTATGAGATAATAGTACTACCGCACAAAATTCTATTATAAAATAAATCATAACTTTACTCTATATCATACTCGAAAACATCTCGAAAGAAATCATAAAGTACAAGAATAAGACCACGTGTTTAGTTCGTCCTTGACCTTTCCTAGTCTGATGTATTCTGAACAACAAAATTATGTTTAACTAGATCTTTGTGATAAAACTCTTGAAAACATTTAAATTAAATTTAATATCCATGAAAAGGACAAACAAAATTACCTATAAATCTTTTCTCCCTTGTTCCATGATAACCTGAAAAAATGAAAACAGTTAATAGAACGATATTTGTTATGCATTCATAGATCAAAGCCGATTAAATAAATGAAATTTCTGATTTTTTATGCAATTTTTCAAGTCATTTTTTCTTGAACTTCAAAATGTATACTTACTTGCAGCAGACGATATTCCGAAAATCACAAGCGAAAAGCACAATATCGTGAACGGATACATATTGCCGAATTTAGATCAGTTTACATTCTAAATTAAATACCCCTCTCCTATCATTTTAATATCACACCAAGGGTAATACGTTATCAGTCTTGAATATTAAAACACGGGCATTAGACATTAGTTACAGAGAAATGTGCACTGTTAAACTTTCACTTTTTAAAGCAAACAAGTACATATGAACTGAAATTGGCAGTTTTGCTATTATTTGTTTTGTACGATTCTCATTCAATCACTGTTCAACAACTCAATTGGTTGAGCGTTGGACTGTAAAACAGACGACGTGGGTTCGTATCAGACTCCAAAATTACTACGACAATTAAAAAAATACCGTGAAACAGAAAAAAATCGATAAATTATTGATTATTCGTTGGCTATGGAATTCTAGCTCTTTTTATTGATGTTAATGAATGATGCAGCGAAATCCCGCCGGAATGCACCTCAGTCGCCGAAACGACGATTTCCCGTGTTCCACATTGTTTGGCAAACGAACATATAGTAGGCTTTTCACCTTTCTGTAACTATAATTTTCATAGTTAAATTTTTTAAATAATTTTATCGGTGGTTTTGTATTTAGTATCTTATAGTAAGCCTTAGTAGTGATTCTTTTAAGGTGGCACATCTATGCAGTCTGCCCAGACTCTATACTGTTGGTATCTCAATTTTTGTATTTTTATTGTGAAATCTCCCTTACATTTTAAGTGAACTGTTCCAAATTCAAAGATGGGTAAAATCCATTACACGGAAGGTTTGAAGATGGTTTTAATATATTAGTCAAATATATAGCCATTGGGTGGCCTCAGATTATACCTATGTGACTAATGCACGTCAGGTATTAATGATCAGCATTATTCACTTAAAAGTTAGTACTTATTCCTAAAATTATGTATAGTTTTGTCTCGATAGCCCCTTTTAGATATTTACCCTATTTAGAGGATACTGACGAAACAAGGAATTAAAACCGACTGTATAAACTGTTTTCTTTGTCTATAATACATTTTGTTTAAGACGATATTAAACCTAGCTGATAGATTATTACTTTAATCCTTCCTTATTTACTTTAAATCCTTTCTTATCCAAGTTCAAGGTATTTCGGTACACTACAAGCATGTACTTTTCTTTGTGTATATTTGCGTGTATGCTCCACAAAGCCTACTGATAAAATATCATAGTACAAATATGAAACAGCACTGAAACACCTTGATATTACCCAAACGGTGTTTATACCACGTGATTACAAAGAAAATACATGTACGTCTCTTAAAAAAAGATACTCGCCCGAAGTATAACTTTTTAACATTCAAAAGTATGTTCAATTCAACACAAAAAGATATATTAGCAATGCTTGCATAACAATGACATGACAATTATTTCTTGTAGCTATTAAGAAAATACCCATTTTGTAAACATCGAAATTAAATTATAGCATATTGATATTGATGGTTTTTCGAAGAACAACTTCTACTTAAGGTGTCCTTTCTACTTGTTTTCCCTTTGACTTTATAGATCTTGTAATCATTTACAAATTAACCTCAAAAAGCTATCCTCATTCCTTTAGAACTATCCTTTACATTTTATGTTACAGTGACACAACTATCCCTTGCATTTTATCAATGAGCTGTCCTTAGGATTTTATTTTAGAATGGTTAGAACCGTCCTTTACATTTCATTTTAAATTGACCAATGAGATTCACCGATTTCAGTTTGTAAAATAAAATCACCAATGAAAATTCTTCTTATATTCAGTCCTTATCCGTAAATTTCACAAGAAGTCAAACCGATAACATACGGACTAAAAGGCACCTGCTAACCAGTCTAGTATAAAATTCAAACATAATGATATTATTTACAACATTATTATTTTCCTTTTATGCAAATGGTTAGTCCGGAATAAGTTTAATAATTCGAAAACAGGAAATATACATTGTATTTAGGTAAATATTTACTCTAAAACACAGTTTCGGAATATTTAACGTTAAGAATCAAATGAAAAAGAAACGAAATGAAAAGAAGGCTAGTACGAAAGTACGCGATAGTATTGCATAGCCAGGTGATGGCTATTACGTGCGCACGTGAAAACCATTGTGTAGCAATGCTAGAGCTATAATATAAAACGTTATATGTATTACGTGGCCACACGATATGTTTAACTAGCGCACGCAATAGTAGTTAAGTGGCCACGCAATGAGTTTTTTCTGTACGCGTGCCCACGTAAAACATATTGTGTGACCAGACAAAAGTTTTCACATGCGTACGGCTAGGTAATACAATCACGTGTGCACGTTCTAGCTATCTCGTGTGCACGTTATATTTATTTAATGAAAAAGTATTTTAAAAATGACCGAGAGGGGTACCTTGTCATATTATGATTTCATGTACTGCATTTTAATCGAAGCCTTATATATACACGTATACTACATTATATTATGTTATGTGACTACGCGACCACTTCATTTTATTATCATTATATTCGTGTATATAAAAAAATCAGTAAGATATTTCAATATCGAATAACAGATGAAAGAGGTAGAGTTTTTGTTCAAAATATTTTCAAGAGATTTTTCTTTATTTCGTTGATTGGTACACTTTTCCTTTAGTAAGTAAAGCAATCAAGTATTCTTGTTTTTACTTATAATAAATATTCATCTTTCATTTATTTACAATTTTTCAATGATTTCGAGACAGAAATTTAGAACAACTGTATGTCATTCTTGAGCAAGGAAGAAGAGGGTGGCGTCCAATTTCAAATTCAAGAAGCATTGATATTTTAGCAAATGATATTAATAATGGTCCGGAAAAATTGTTCACACTTCATACTGCCCCAACTTTTGAGAAGGAATAAATGACAAAAAAAATACTAAAAGATACCAAGTTTATTAAGCGGTTTTAGTACAAATATAAACACAAATATTTAAAATCTAAGAATGGTAACTTTTCCAATCCAATGAGATTGATTTACTTTTATTTGTACATGTTATTTCCCTTGTATTTTAATAGTATTCTTCATCTTGCTCGTGTGAACACAAATACAACTTAAAATATATGATAACTTTTGGAATATAACAATATATTTGTCATATTGCAGGTAAAGATACTCGAACCTTACTTTATTAAGTCACACAATGTTACATTTCTTAAAATCAATGAGAAAGTAATATTAACAAATAATGTCCATTGAATTGTTCACTCTGTTTCAACCCACAGAACAAAGTTGAAAAATCTGAAGCTGTTTTGCTTCGGCATAGCTGTTTGAAATAGCAACTTTCTTCTTGTCCTTTGAAAAGCATATTGTACACGGATATATCATATCCAGAAGGTGATTTCCTAAAACTTCACCGTACCTTGACAACTGCACGATGGAGTTTGTTCCTCGGCTACACACAAAGATACTTCCTTGAGGACCAAACGCCACTCCTCTGGGCTCCAAAATCCTTTTGTCTTTCACTCTAATTTCACTGTTTATTCTTGTGTCATATATGTAGACACAATTTTCATATCTGTCAGTCAGGACTAGAATGTTTTCATCATCATCAAACGTACACCTACTGTCATCAATTTTCCAGTATTTCTCCGGGAAATCAACACTAAATTCAAACTCCCTGCCACTTTTGGACAAAATGCGTGCTGGTATGGAGCTTCTGTACGTACCAATAACAAACCTGTCGTCGTTGAACTTACATATCGAGAATGGACATGATTCGAGTGAAAAGCCCTCGACACGTGCAAATCCCTTTTCACTATCAATTAATACGTTTTCAAGTCTTTTTGCACCAGTGACAAAAAGCTCATTGTTCGAAGTTGCAACAATGTCAAAGATATGAGATGAAAATTGATGTTTCCCAATAACTTCAAGTTTCCTACTTAATATTAAGCATTTCCAGTTGGCGTTGTCAACTAACGCTAGTCGACCGTCAGGAAGAAAGTCCATTCCGCTGTACAGTGGTTGCTTCTCGTCTGACCTTGATGTTAACACGTCTAAGATAACAATCTTTCTTAATTTCACCTTCCTGCTGTCTGTCAGGTCACTTACGACAGGTTTAACTTCGTTTTCAATGAGCTTTCCGAAACTAAGATTAGCGTCATCAAGAACAATGTTCACCATTTTATCGACACTAAACGTTATATCAGAATAAGACATCTGTTCTTGATGCGTTTTTATTTTATCATCAAGGTGTCTTACTTTCTCTTCAAGGGATTGTAATAAGATAAATGTATGTTCTGGAGCTTTGCATTCCACTGCTGTATTAAACGTGTGCCGCATTTGTTCGAGGTCTTCGGTTAGTTTTTCCGCGTATCTTCGTTGTAGTGCGTACTTTTTCAATATCTCCTGTTTTAAAAAGTTTGCTTTTGACATTATCACAGCCTTTGAATTCTCCATCTTTTTAATAATAGATTCTTGGACGTTGTTAAGTTTTTCATCTATCGTCAAAATTTGGGTTTCAAGCTCCATTTCTTTTGTATCTAAGAAATGTTTAGCATTGTTTGTCTTTAACAGTAAATCATATATCTGTTTTTGCAGGGACTTATTGCGTTCGGCAGATGCTGCTTTTGCAACTTGGTTTATTTCAGTAACTTCTTTACCTTCTTTTAATTTATTTATTGCACAGAAGCTGCAGCACAATGTATTTTCATCAGCACAATAGAATTCAATAAGTTTATCATGTTTCTTGCAAATACATTCAGAAGTGATCCTTTTCGCTGTCAGATCTTTGCTTAATGTTTCAATGACTTCTTGCAGAGCATAATTTACCGGTATTGTTTTAGACCATAGCTTTGGCGGAATGTTCACATCCTTGATAACCGTCACCTTTCTACAAAGTGGACACTCAATTCCTTTCGTGCTTGTTTTACAAGTTTGCTGCTTGATAACGCAGTCGTGGATACATTCCTCACAAAACGTATGTAAGCAGGCTAAAGATCTCGGATCTTGGTACTGGTCCAGACATATACAGCAACAAAGGCTGTTATTGTCAGGATTCATCTGCCCTTGATTGCTCGCCATGTTCAATTCAAATACCTTTTTTGCAGCGTCACAACGTAATAGTTAATTAGAGGTACTCTGTCGTAAGCCTAAAACATTAAAGGAGAGATTATACAAAAATATAAATAAGACAATTATAAAGAGTTTTTGGTTTTATTTTCATTACAAATTGTAAAGAGGCGTATCTGACACCTTAGATATATGTCAAGTTTAGTAATAATCTATACTTGAAATAAAGTTTTAAATTGGTTGTTGTTTTCTTTTTCGCAAAGAAATAGTATAGGCCATATGGCGACTTTTCTGCTTTACTGGTGGAGGAAGATCTCAGATACTCCGGTGTACATTATCTAAGCGCAAACAGAAACCTGAGTAGAAACGCCGGCGTCCCGTAAGCTAGATGGATTGCTTTTCTCTCATAAATAATAGGAAGACACCGGCACAGCTCGAACCTAAACCGATGAAAGAATGAAATGATATATATTTTGAACATAATTATTATCAGTAAGTTCAAACGCTATTACAAAAAAGTGCTAGAGTTAAACACAAGCTGTCGTCACAGACGGGACTATTGTGTATTCAGGAACTGTTAAGGGCTCTGAAAAGTCTTGTTTTCGATTGAAACTTTTAACGTAGCGTCTGCAAGAATCTTATATTTTTACATGCTTTATGCGTTAGTGTAATTTTTAAAACGATAACATTCATCCTTACGCTATGTTAAGTAAAATGAAATATTCTTATTGATATCAATTTTCATGATATACTGATGTAGCAGCAGAAATGTTAAAAAATATAGAGAGATAACACATCTTGACATTTTTTACAAACATTTGTTATTTAAATGCAACCAATATGTTACATTTTTAGATGAGAAGTCTACGTTACTGTAGAATACACGGTAATTACAGACTGTCATATACTAAGTTGCAGAAAAACTCTTACTTGAACGATGAAGAATAACACAATGTTTACACCAGATTTTAATATTTTCCAACTTCAAATGTTTCATTTAATTGAGAATGTGTGGTAAAGCTCCGGTCACATATTCACGGATAATGCCACAGAAGAGCTACGGTCTAATCGTTCACGGATTACTACGGAAATGTGAAATTCCGCAGTCCGCTACGGTTCCGGTACGGACACACAACAGTATGAGTACGGAGTCCGACGGATTTACCACCAAAAGCCCCCGGAGAAACACGAATTGTTACGGACCGACACGGTTTTATACGGAGCGACACGAATCAGGACGGTCTTCGAAAAAGCCCATCTCTAATCCACCATCCTCTGTCTTCTCTTACCTGATTAGATAAAGATTACTAATCATTAATGCAAAATGTTGATCAATACTGCTTCTCTTTTAATTTTAAGATTTGCTGTTCTTTTTACAATACCATTAATTATCGAGAATGTTTATGTTTTAAAAAAATATAGGTAAAAGCTTGTTAATTAATCTTATTATCACTCAAGGGCCCAGCGGTCCGAGGCCCTTATGAGACACTTCGTTTTATGTAAACATATTTACTTTCAATTTCACGATATCCAATGTTTGGTAAATATGTAACATTAAATGTTATTCTATTACTTATGAATTGTAAGTACGAATAATAATAATATATATTTTAACCTCTATGCCTGTCATTAAGCAGCTCGGACCACTTGCCTTCGCATTCTGAGCCATTTCAAATAAAGTTGGCAGCAATGGTAATTTGGCAATTATCAAATTTATTGAATGTTTCCGGCAAATATGTCTGTTTTTTAACAGAATGTATAAGGTATTTATACCCTTGAAAAAAGTACATGATACTTAATTCATCCGCACTTAACAGTGGTGGACCCGTACCATTCCGATTTTACCGTTTCGTGTTCTTGGCAACGCAATAAACCGTAATAAGACCGTGCTTATCCCTTGCCTCTCTGTTGTGCAACGTATTACGATCGTTGGCTTTCCGTGACAATGCCGTATTTAATCCGTATTAAAACCGTAGCTTTGTACGTAGGGTATCCGTACAAATACGTAGTTCTCCGTAACCAAACCGTGGAGGAAATCCTTGAACAGTTGGTGGACTGCGAATCAGTACGGGGCTAGTACGGTTTTCGTACGGATCAGTACGCATCCAGTACCGTTTAATATCGGACTAACAGGGATAACCGATAACGGTTGATTTTTCCGTAGCAAATTTTCGTTGGCATTTTTCAAAATGGTCAAGGATCGCGTATCGAATATACGGACTACTACGATTTGAATTTACGGTTAGATTACGGAAGAGCTTACTGACCCAAAGTACGGGTCGCTATGGATGATGCCGTGGGCGTATTCCGTGAATATGTGACCGTGGTATATACCTATAAACTATACAAACTATTTTTAAATAAAAAAAATCTTGTTTGTTCTTATTGATATCTGATGTAAACTTTTCAACTATACATGCTATTTTCAAATCTCGTTTAATTGTTAAAGTCATGTTCAAATTGAATAATAATGGTGAAGTTGAGAAAAAGGAAAAAATAAACCTACCGGCAATGTATTCCTTTTTCATGTCTTAAAAATAATGTAGTTTTAAGGTTTAATAAGGTACGATAACAAATGTATATCTGTATACGTCCTTGATTTAAGTTTTCGTTGACTTTAATCCACCAGGTAAGTATATTTAGCCATGAATAGTTTAACTGATCAATATAGTATCGCTGATAAAATAAATTTGGGATCTTTTTTTGTTTAAACCCTGTCCCGGTTTTTTGGCGGCTTATTAAATTTGATCTAGGTTACTTTACCCCCCTTTGGTAAAAATTTTCAAAATTAATCGAGGGGGCACGGCCCGGCTTTTAAAAATGTCGTCTCCCAAACGGGATACTTTTAAAATAACATTCTAACTACGTTTTTTGAATTATGTAAAAGTTTACAAAGCAACAATTTATGTTTTAAACTACCAAATTTTAAAATAAATTATTTAAAAAATGCGTCAAAATTTTCCGAACCCGGGTTTAAATTTTTAACTGGGATTGTAAAAATTGGGTTTTAAATCCCACATAATATTTAATTATTTAGTTTAAATTTGGGATTGTTGGTAAAAAATTTAAAACTTTACTCGTTCAAAATTTTCCCAAAATTTTATTTACACTATATTGCAGTTTTTATTGATCTGATGTGTGCATTTCAACAGAAATTTACTTTTGTAATACAGTTAAGAAATTAAGTAAACACGCAATTTCAAAATTGACTTTCTTTATGCAATTCTATGGAGAAATTAAGTTAAAACAAAATATTGTTTGATTATTTACATTACGAGCGGCAGTCCCTTTAATCATTGTAAAAAGTTAAAAAAAATTATGCAGTTTATTCATTTATAAAAACCGAGTATCTAAAATAAGATTTTCAAGTAAAGTAGCTATGATACTGACATATACAAAACAAGAGAGAAACGAAAAAATGAAGATATAATTAACATAAATTAACAAAAAATAGGAGACATGATACAGTTTTATATTAGTTAACTTAAAGTGGATTGGTCTACAATGGACACATTTTTCCATAATTATTTTCAAGTTTTGAATAAAAATGTATAAAATCGGTATTTTCTAATAAATATTCTTAGAAAAAAAGTTTTTGCATTTCCCAAAAGGGGAAAATAATAAGAATTCTTTTTACATCTAATGAATGATATTTAAAAAGTAAATTTTCAAAGTAAAAGGGGGGATTTAATGGTGAATTTTCCCAATGAGCAGTATAAAAAATTTTTTTTTCCCCTTTGATACTACGGGTTAAACCTTAAAAAGCGGGTTTGTGCCTAGTCCAAGATTTTAAAAGATATTTCGGGAATTTTGGGTTGGGGCGTTCGAAACGCAAAAATTATTCAATATGACTTTTTTAGTTGTAAACGAAAAAAAGCTATATGGGTTCTTTTTAATCAAGATTTCCGCTATTTTCTTCTTCATCCCTGTTAAAGTTTATATGAAATAAACTCATTAGTTCGGGTGGTTTCCATATTTTTTTTAGTTTTTTTTGGGTTTTAAATCATTTCCCGAACCAAAGCAACCATTGTATACACACCGGTCTCTCAAATATCGACCTGTGTCGTACGACGCATTACTTACCCCAAATGAGGGTAAAAATTACTCCGACATAAAGAAGTCCTCGTAAGGATGACGATTTTATTTTACAAAACACTATATATCTTTTCAAGTGATTAAAATTTTTAATTGCTTTCAAGGGGTCACTGTTTTCCGGATTTTAATATTGATAGTTCGATATTGCAATTGATAGTTCGACTGTGTTACTATTTTATTCAAATATTCAAAACTACTTTCTCTTTCGGTTTTAAACTAACAATAAACAAAACTACAATCACGCGTGTTTATCGAAATTGGGTTTATAAACCACTATGTTTTGAGTAAAAATGATGAAATGGCTATTTGGCAACAGGGTAGGGAAAAAGTTTAAGCTTTCAAGAGGTCTCATTTGCGTTTTTTTTACTTCTGTGTTCAAGCCGCCATGTTAAAGGTAGTGCGTTCCCGTCATGCTTAGAGTGGTTTCACACAGGACAGTAAGACCGGTGTACACAATGCAAAGCAACCACAAAGATACAAACTGACGTGTATAATTTCCATTCAATCATCATCAATTTAAATTTTTGGAGCTTTGAGATCAGGAGTTCACTGACGGGATGACGGAAATATATTGGAATGTTTAGGTGGCTATTTTTTTTGTTCTCTCTTAACAGACTTCCATAGTTTTGCCAAATAACATTAAAAACATATATAAAATAGTTGATGTGTATGTAACCTTTTTATTTTTCCCGTTTGATTTACTAGTGCAAAAGCCTCGTCTTCGCGTCCAAGTCCGGAAACTTTTTATTTCTGAAATAGTTGGAATCTTACCATGATTATGTAAGCAGGTATTCATTTATATTCATGCCAGTGCTCATATGTTTCAATTATTATGTACAGAGGAATTAATAACTCGTACTGTATTAAATGTTTACTTATTAGCAAAATAACTGGAAGTCACAGTTTTCATGAACAAATTTCCTTTCATAATACACGTATATTACTAGTATAAAAGAACAAAATATATATGGACTAAAATATCTCCATTGTGTTTGTGGAATGAGACGCAGTGTCTAGTTGGTTGGTGATGTAGACCGATTGTGCATAATTTAAATTAGACTACTTGGACCCAGATGCAGAACATCACTACCAGGATTTTGATAAAGACTTTGACAATGCCATAAAGACTATAGACATGGACACTTCTTATGTAACCCCGCCAAGTGATTTCAGTTGTGTGGTAGTAGCATAAGAATTTAAGATCGCCAATGTTGTTACAAAATACTAAACTTACCAATTTAGTATGTTGAAACATTTTGTAAAAACGAGTTTTTCGTCCTTTCAACTTTTATAGAAGAATTGAACATCAGAACCAAGATTAGCTCATCAAAAGAATTAGCAGCCTTTTACGTTATAATAGTAAAGCACCACTTGTCAGGCCTGGGTTATAAAATTGTCTTTCAATCTTTCATTACATACGACCCTTTTACGGATGATAAAATGAACACTTGCTTCATTCTTCTCGTACAAAGTGGCATACTATTGAAATGAAATATCTAATTAATCAGAAAACTATTTACAGGTTGGCATAATCAAAATATATAATCATAGTAATGGTAAATGTTTGAGAAAAAAAGACAAAAAAACCTATTAAAACAAATTAAATTATTCAAATCCAAATTAATTTGATTCTACCTTTAAAAGCAACTTCTAAATTAATTTAATTCTTCCTTTAAAAGCAACTTATTTAAGAAAAAGTTTTGAAACGGCTGCCCCATCTTATTGCCAAAGATATTCAGTATGATGAAATATCAAAAAATCATCTACCGCTGAAATATTATAAACTAAGATCTGATCGCCGTTGTTAAGGAGTGAATTTCGGCGGTTAAACCACTTGTAGACTCCCCTTTCGGTGGGCCTCCTTTTTTTAATTTCCTTGTTTTTTTCCCTTTTCGGTTTCTTTTTTTCTATTTTTTGTACATTTTTTTTTGTACTTTTTAATAAATAAACTCCCTGTTTGCTTTTTTGCCCTGTCCCCCTTTTTTTTTGAGGTTTTTCTGGGCTCCTTGCGGTAATCTTGTTGCTTGGGCTGTGGGGGTTGCGTTTTTTTAACCACCCCCTCGTATCCGTTTTAATTTTCCTAGATAACTAACCATTATTATTTCTCTGACCGACCTCCCGCCTTGTTGATCTTGTCTTGTCTTTAAGGTTTCTGTTTCTCTATTTTCTTAAATAGACAAAACACCCAAAAACCCAAAACGGCAAAATTGAAAATGTTGCAGGCTCGGTTTGTCTGAGCCTCTCCATGGACGGTAGTGGTCACTGCATGCTATATAACGAGCCGTCCTCCCTTTTGAAGAGTACTTGATCAAGAAATGTTACTCATATTATCTCCAATTCATTGATTAAATACAAATAAAATATATTGAATGTTTTTTGTTGTCATTGAATATTAATATTTAAAATGTAGATTAATTGCTTTGAAATAATAAAAAATAAGATATTAATTACAATTACAGTATATACACTAGCTTTAAAAGCGTGAAGTCATATTACACACGACACTTATCCAAAAATATAAGGGTGGTGAGCTTGTGCCATTGTTGTCTGTATCCATTGCGAATACTTGAAAACGTCCTGAAACACGATTGGCCTTGCTGCCGACTTACAGTCCAAAGGATAAGAAACAAGCCCTGGAAATGAATAAAATATTTGATCACAGTATTGCTTTTTGTTATTGTGTTTAACGTTGCACCAACACGACTTTCCAGCTTCAATGATTAAGGACGACCTCGGGTGTCCTTCCGTGCGTTATTTCAGATACAAACGGGCATCCGAGGAAAACCACCTACGTTCCGTAAGCTAGCTGGATAACTTTCTCACATGAAAGAATACATAGACACGGATCAAACCTTCAGCGATGAGAGGCTAATTGACCGTAACCACTTCACCACGGACGCCCCACTCCTTATGAAGCACCGATACTGTAACACACCTCGTTTAAGACATGTATAAATTACGAAATAATACAGTGATTTACGTTATAGAAATATAATCGATTTTTTTTTTCTCAAAGAGTTTCCATTCGCTTATTATTTAAAAAGATAATGAAATGCAGCCATACCTTGTATATACCAGATTCCGTTGTTGTCCTTACACATTAATGGACTGCCAACGTCATCCTTGTGAATAAAATAACATTAATAAAAAAAAACAGGTGCTTCAAACCATGTGTAAAAGTTTGAGATCCTTAGATTTGACATTCTCATGAATATATATCTGTAAATACTAGTTTAATCTTACAAAAGCATAATTAAACTTAAGGTTTACATGTATCTTATGTGTATCTTTTTTCTAACTCTAAGCCTGCTTGCAGTAACTTAAGGACCCTAATGAACATGCGTTTAAAAAAGAGAGAAATAAAAACTTTTTAAACAACGCACACAACCCACGACAAAATTGAAAATGTTGCCCTGAACGAGAAAAAAATGAGCGGAACTAAATGAAATGGAATTTTGGAAGAGGATCAGAGGTTATGAATCCTGAAAATCACAGATAAGCTGTCGAAAGACACAATTAAAAAGCACGCAATATATCCTAAGGGTGATTAAACATAGACAAAATAACAATTATAATTTTATCAAATAATGATGTCACAGTAGAAAACACCCTCTTACATGGCATAATTTATGCTAAATTCAGTGATTCTTTTAAATGTTGTGCTAACAAAATGTTTCTTTTAATGAGAATAAAAAAAATATAAATAATCTTTTGTTGTTGTGCATTGTTATAAAAACTTTCAGCGAAAATCACGATAATTATTTCACAAGTTTATAATATTATGTATAACATTTAGCGCTTTTTAAAGAAAATTAAGGCTTCATTCAACATGTCTGTCCCTATTGAAGCAACTTAAACCAAATAGATTGATATGTCTCCCTATTAAATCATGTACAGTAAGCTTGAAATTTATCTGAAATAAACGTTTGCAATTTAATCGTATCAGAAAATCTTGAATTAAATAAAATTAATATTCGTAGAATGTAAGTCCCTCATTCCCGAAATATTACCGTTAGATTGTGAACAAATATTGCTGCTCGAGTGATGTCCCTTGAGCAACTGTCATGTATGACGTCATTTTAAGTTTTAAAGCGCGAAAGTTTCGGAGGCGTAGGACAGAAGGAAGGAGAATTGACAATACATAGATTTATCGGTAAGTAACCAGTTTCTTCAGCGTACTTGTTTCCTTATCATTACTATACTGTTGTGGTCCTGGACAACGCTGGATATCATAATATTCAGGCTAAAAACATGAATATTGTTGTTTTGTTAAGCATTTTATTATGTCACTTTCAAATATAATAATGTATTCTATGTTTTCTACGTAGTACATTTTATACAAGCAAGAAATATTTCTATTAGTTCACTTTAAAGATAGAGTTTAATATTGTTATAGTGATCTATAAAATAAATGCCTGTACAATAATTATTTCATATTTTACTTTCAAATTGACAGATGTTCCACATCTTCTACAAGGAAGGCTTATGCACAAGCGTGGTTACGCCATCACAGCATTTCATTTCAAGAAGAACTGCTGAAGGTAGAATTGTTGGCATTATGCAAGCAACAGCAGGTGAAACCAACATATGTTGTGGATGAGATGCTAAGCGCTCATGGACATTGCTCTATCCGACTGCCGCCATATTATGCAGACCTTGATTCTATTGAATTCATATGGTCACATCTGAAAGAATATGTTGGTCGGAAGAACTTGAACTTTCGGTTATCAGATATTCGAGACCTTGTTACCGAAGCTGAAACATCCATTACATCTGAGCATTTGGCTGAGTGCTGTAGCCATTTGGAAAAGATAGAAGCAGAGTATTGGAGAAGTGAAAACATCCCATAGAGTAGATTGAATAGAGAAAATAAGAATCCCTAAAGAAAGTCCAAAACGACAAAATTGAAAATGTTGCAGGCTCGGTATGATTGAGCCTGTTCATTGATGGTACTGTCAGGAGCAAATTACCGACCACGCTTGACCCTGTTGTCATTTCATTCTCCGACAACAGCAGCAGCATTTATTACAGTGACGACGAAACCGACAAAGCCTCAGAAACCAGAAAAACAACAGATACAGCAGATGGAATTTGAAATGTTGTATCTTTGTATCTATTGCATATTTTGGATTTCATTTCTATGCAAAAAAAAGAGATTAAATTGAAGATACTTCCCTTGAATGAAACAAGAGAGCCATGATAATCCTGAGTCTGTCACCAGAAACAACTGCTTTTCGGTGTTGAAAATTATCCATTGTCAATATTTTCTAATAGTAAACTTGAGCATAGAAAATATTTAAACAATAATTTGTGGCAATGCGATGACCTGGGGCATCTAAGCTTTAGCTTAAACTTTTGTTTTGTTTTGTTTGTTTTGATTTTAACGGCACGTAACACAAAACTGGCCATATCCAGCCGAATGCTATAAAAGGCTTAAAATGTTACGTAAAACTTTGTAAATGACAATAAAAATGAGCCAATTAGATCCTAGAATACAAGTTTATCTCTTTCAAATCATCAATGATGTTTTTTGATGGAATTGTATTAAAGAGTTCTTTGAGTGAATTTACACAATAAAATATGTTACGGGCCTGTGAAAAATCATGACATTCAAGAAGAAAAGGCTTGACAGTAAAATTTTCATGACAAGCTACACAGAAAGGGGCATTGTCATTCGTGAGGAGATAAGAGTGGGTAACTTTAGTGTGTCCAATTCGGCATCGAAGAAAAACTGGTTAATCATGGCGGTTTGACAGAGATAGAGATGGTGACACATAACGAGAAGGGTTTATATCGTGAAGTTCATTAAAAACGGCATTGTCCCAATTTGCTTTCCATTTAGATGATACGAGTTAATTTATAGCTGGTCTAAAATCACAAGCAGGTAACAATAAGTCATTTCCTTTGAAAATTTAATGATTGTATAGCTAAAGCATTTACTTTTTCATTTCCTCGTATAACTACATGACTTGGGATTCAATATAATTTAACATATTTGTTTATGTATATCATGTTATCGTAAAAGAAGTTTCCTTATCATGACATTGTCAGATTTTTTTATCTTTAATTTATATTAAAACAGACAGCAAGTCAGAAAATATCACACATTTATCATGGGTATGCTGTCCTATGTATGACAATGCTAAATCTATAGCTTTTGCTTCAGCAGTAAAAAATTATGTATTATCTGGTAACCTCATACTAGATGTAAAATTATTTTCGAACACAGCCGCACCTACTTTTGAACCGTCCGTATAAATATGTATAAAATCTTCATGTTCTTCCTTAATTGCTAGAAACTTCTCTTTGAAATGTTCAGGTGAATTTGATGACTTTTTTACATTTGAAAGGTTAATATTTATTTTCGGGGAATTATAAGTCCAAGGTGGAACATCCTCATTGTCATTTTGAAGGATACTGTCTGTATTTATTTTAAGTTTATCTCAATCATCTTTTAAACGACGGCCTACTGGTTTGATTTCCTTTGGTTTGTTAACAAATTGTCCAGTATCACTTGCTTTGAAAACAAGCAATAATTATAATCATAGTATTGCAAGCAATTCATAAGTCCCCTACCGGTTAGAGGCCCAGCAACATTCTGATTGGCCATTGGCCATTAAATTTTACCAGTGAATGAATGACATGAATGAACTTAAATCTTTTGAGTTCTAAGTTTGTCTATATCACAGTAATGTGTTAAGTTTCCCTGCATAGTAAGGAAATTATGTTTATACAACCTTGTCATATTATTACGATGTGGGATTTTAAAGTTAATCCTTTAAGGAATGAAGGAAGTTCATGCGGGACATAATTCTGGAAATAGTTTTGGTAGAGTATTTAACCTTCTCAAAAATGTTGAGTGATAATAAGAAACATATATATGAAGTTTTAAGTAGATACATTAGGAAATAAAGAAGTTATTTAAAAAAGACAACATTTATTTTCATAAAAAATCTAAGTTCAAATGAGGTAAAACTGATAATTTTTGTGCTAGAGTTGTAAACCTTGTCACATATGATGTGGTTGATGACCAGAAACTTATATTTAAAGTTTTAAGTAAACACCTTAAGAAAAAAAGAACTTATAGTTAAAAAGCTGAAAAATTTAAATCACAAATCTTGAAATTCATTTGTTACCATAGCAACCAGAATTTTCAACATAGGAAGAAAAGAAAAAGACGTGCATAATCTCCATACTGCCATATATCCATATATCAAGTTTCATAAAACTATTTTTAGTAATTTTTGAGTTATCACTGGATCCAGTTTATATGTTAAATTTGCCATATTTTCAGACTATTTGTTGCCATAGCAACCAGAATTTTCAACATAGGAAGAAAAGAAAAAGACGTGCATAATCTCCATACTGCCATCTATCCATATATCAAGTTTCATAAAACTATTTTCAGTACTTTTTGCGTTATCGCGGGATCCAGTTTTGTGGACGGACGGACTGACAGACAGACAGACGGATGGAGGGTAAACCTCTAGTCCCCTCCGGTTAAACCGGTAGGGGACTAATAATGTTTTTAGCTGGATTTTTTCTATTATATGAAATTCTAGTTGCATATTGAAGTGATAGCTTTTTTCGACGAAGTTGAAGCGATGGTTCCACAGCTTCCGCATATAGATTTTCTACAGGTGAGTGCGAAAAGTACCTAAAGTTAAACGTAAACCCTGGTGATGTATGGTATCTAGCATTTGAAGATATCATTTTCTTGCAGACCCATATACTACAGAACCATAATCTAATTTTGATCGGATAAGACTTCTGTAAAATTTCAGTAATGTGGAAGAATTTGATCCCCAATTTGTACTTGATAAACGGGGCCAATCAAATTAATATGAGCAAACTTGATAAAAGACTACCTAAGAATGCTACGAACAAAATTTGGTGATCATCTATCAATAAGTTGTTTAGAAAATGACGTTTAAATGGATTTCTATATTTAGCTTAAGCAGCCCCTAAGAGGCGCCAATCAAATGATTATGAGCAAACTTGATAAAAAAAACTTCACTTTCCAAGAATGCTACAGACAAAGTTTGGTGATCATCCATCAATTAGTTCTGTAAAAGAAGGTGTTTAAATGTATTTCTATTTTTAGCTTTAGCAGCCCTTAAAA